TTTTTTTTTTTTTTTTTTTTTTTTTTTTTTTTGTTCCAACCAACCAGGACTGCTGTTGGGCTAAATAGTTTATACTAATGTTTAAAGAGGGGAAGTCGGTATTGATAAAGGAAAAGGAAGTATTGTGGGTGACTTTGATTGTATTTAGTTCTTTCTTTCCTTTCTGGAGTTCAAGACTGATTGTTTGATAGCTCCATTGTCTAACCAAATCCAATGACCATCAGTGAGATTGTCTCTTATAGAAACAATAATAATAGACGGAATATTGATTAATAGGCAATTATTGTTCTTCAATGGCACAGTACCATAAGAAATCTCCACGCAGAGATGGGTGTTCTTTAAAATTACTCTGTTAATGTTATTGAATGATACTGCAGAGGTATTTCAACTGCACATGGATGAATTGCGTGCAAAGCAAGAGGAAATCAACAAGCGTGATAAGGATATCAAGCTCTTGGAAGCAATAATTCAAACTCTCGGTGGTAAAAAATAATATTTGATGGTAATTAGGGTGTTGGTATTTTTCCTTTTTCCTTATTGTGCGTGGGTGAAGTATTAGTGTAAAGTTTTTATGGTTAATCTGGTTGAATCTGATTAGGAATATGGTGCATAATATTGTATTTTGAACATAGTGAAGCATTAGTTTATACAATAGGAATAAGTAAAATTCAAATTACTTTTGATTGAAGAACAGCGTACAAGTTATTCGCTCTCAACGTCTTTTACTTACTACGGTTTAGTTTTTGTTGATTTGTTTGTTGAAAATAGTTTTTGAGAGCAAGGACTTGTTTGAGGATTACTTTTTTTTGTAAAAGTTAAAGTTATTGTAGGTTTTATAATCATTATTTATAACCGATCAACTATTGTAGCATAGTTAGCCAATTTTACATGCTTCAAAGTTCAACTCAACTTCAAGCAGCAAAAGGATCTTCACTGTCTGAAGAGCAGAATTTCACTTGGCTTTAAGGTTTTTTCTTCACCCTACCACTGACACTTCTTATATTAATGCTGATAGGGCGACAAGTAGGTTCTGTTGTTTTCTTGAGTCCAGTTTGGTTTCTTAGATCTTCTGAAAGCAAAATGTTCTGTCAAATTCAGTGTTGTATGGATAATGTGGCTTTTGAAATTGTGTGGATATGATCATGTATGGATAGAACTTCATCATTCTCTTACTTTCATCCTTTTTACTACTCTGTCAATATTAGCACTCAAGGAGACACATCTAAGTAACATCTAAGTAAGGTCGTAATATGTAACAGTCCAAGCCCATCACTAGTCGATATTGTCTTCTTTGGGGCTTTTCCTTTCAGGTTTCCCTTCAAGGTTTTTAAAACGTGTCTACTAGGGAGAGGTTTCCATACCATATAAAGAATGTTTCGTTCTCTTCCTCAACCGATGTGGGATCTCACATAATATTAGGTCTATTTATCACAGCCCACCTGACCATCCCTTTTGTACACAAAAAGATCGTCTTGACAAACAAAACGAAAAAACAACAAGCTGCTTGTTTATATTCTTTATATATCAACTTGCGAATATAATGTATATTGCCTTTTTTTTTAGTTTTTACTATCCTCATAATCGGTGGTACCACAGTGAATCGGTTGCTAGATTATTATATTGTTCTATATGATTTTTCTTTGTGATTACAAAGAACCTATAGACTTACCTGTTTTACAAGCTCTTCTTGCAATTTTACATCAATTTTCTTGAATTAGAAGGTGACATGTGCCGACCACCATTGCTATGGGTTGACCTGGTGGTCATGGTGGTCATTAAGGGTAATATTGAGATCAAAACATGGTGGTCATATCTAGGATTTAATATTCCTCGAGAGTATACTGAGCAACTAAATATAGTAGATGATTTTCTCATGAGAATAATCAAGATGCGTGCAAGCTGAAAATGGCACGTGTTTATAACAAAGAACACACGGAGGCTAAATGGTAAATGTGATCATTTTTACTCTTTTCTTTAAATTTTAAAAAAAAATCTCGAAGAAAAAATGAAAAGAATATAACGAAAGTAGGTGACCATTAAAAAAAGGTTGATTTATACGATGGAATAATTTTATGATTATCAAAACATTCATAAAATTTTAAGTTGTATCATTGGGTTTAAACCAAATTAATCAACTTACTTTTTTTTAATTATCAATATTCTTTAAACAAAATTGTAATATTACCTTTGTCTGTGAATGGTTTTTATCAATTCAATCTGACATTGAAAATTTTGGAGAAAAAAATAATAATAAAATCAAATCTAAATTTATAAAAATGAATAAATAATTCAAATAAGATCTAAGTTCCTAAATTTTTAAAATTTTCTATCAAAACTTATAAAATATATTTTTTCTTTAAAGTTTCAAACCATTTTCGCCCAAAATAATATATATTTAAAAGTTTAAGAATCAAAATAGACGTTCTAAATTTTAAATTTAGAGATTGAATTTCGAATATTTAAATCTAAATTTAAATTATGTCAATGGTTAATTTTACTTGAAACTGAATAACATAGTGGTAAAAAAAATCAAGGTTAAACCTTAGAGGTAATTTTAATTATATGAGAGTAAAGTTGAAATGTTTAAAATAATTCGATCATAATTAAAATTTTAAATTATATGAAATATCCTAAATGTTGAAAAATATTATTTAAGTTTGTTTTTAAAAAATGCCCATATAGGAGTAAATATCAATTCCTATTGGTTGTTACTATCTACAACCATATAAATTTTTAAAATTAATAATAATATCTTTATATTAAAAAAATTAAATTTTTTATCAAATTTTGTATCGAGAGAAATAATCTATAAAATGTAGATAAATGATTTTCATTTGATAAAAAAAGACGTTAATAATATTAAAATTCGAAACGTAAATATTTTTTAGACACAGTAATAGTAATAGATGTATGAATAAATAAACTTTATTTTTATATGAATTTTAAGAACAAAATATAAAATCTAACCGTTTTTTTTTTTTTTTTATAATAATAATAATTATTATTATTTTAAAAAGCGCAATATATTTGAATCTTAAAGAAATATAAGATTCTTAGAACTTCTGCCCGTTTCTCATTCTGTTCGGTGCCTCTATAGAGGACAATACACGAAAGCGCCGTTCCTTGGAAGACGAACATGGCGGCTCTCTCAAACCCACTGCGTAAGTTTCTAATTCTTCTCTCTTTCTTCTAATTATTTGCCTTCCTCGCGCTTCTCTCAATCTTCGATTCTTTCAACAAGAAGAACACAGTGATTCCATTAAACCCTCTGCGCAATTTGTTGACCCTTGATCACCATTATGTTTTTTTTATTTTTTATTTTTTTTCTTTTTCTTGTGTGTTTGGAATTCTTTAGCTTCACATAAAGTCCGAATACAGTTTTCATTGCGCTTCCAATGGATTAGCTTAGTTGTTGGTTGTATGATTCAGGGGAGGAACAAGGAGTTTCCCCTTTTAGATTGTCTTAAATTCATGGAAATGTATACAGCAGTTTTAAGATTAAAAAATTTCCATCTAATTTGCTCCTTAATTTTTAGAACTGAAAAATTATGTTTGTAAGATGTTAGAATATAAAATTGTCATGTTTACAAGAAGTTAGAATGTAAAATTTATACCTGAGTTATACTGAAACGAAGTTCTTTGAAAATTTGCAATTTGCTGACCATTTTTCTGTGAGCATCTAATTGGAGTGTAACTCTGCTTAGAGAGTTGGGGGGAGGAGGTCTGGTGTGTGGATTGTCACATTCTGAGTAGTGGTTGTGTCCCAAGTAAGTCATCGAAGACGATGACTAGTTTAAGTGGGAGAGAATGTCACAACCTAACAGTGGTTGTTCCCTCAAGTAAGTTATCGAGGACGATAACTAGTTTAAGTAGGAGAGAATGTCACAGCCTGAAGTGGTTGTTCCCCAAGTAAGTCATCGAGGACGATGACTAATTTAAGTGAGGGAGAATGTCCTAACGGTGGTTGTTCTCTCAAGTAAGTCATCGAGGACAATGACTAGTTTAGGTGGGAGAGAATGTCACAACCTAACAGTGGTTGTTCCCTCAAGTAAGTCATCGAGGACGATGACTAGTTTAGGTGGGAGAGAATGTCACAACCTAAGTGGTTGTTCCCTCAAGTAAGTCATCGAGGACGATGACTAGTTTAGGTGGGAGAGAATGTCACAACCTAACCGTGGTTGTTCCCTCAAATAAGTGATCAAGGACGCTGACTAGTTTAAGTGGGAGAGAATGTCACAACCTAACTCTGAAGAAATAGGTTATGACTCTCACATTGCGACAAGAGAAGCGGCGACCCTCAACTGGCGCCCATTAGTCACGCGACGGCCTAAACATGTGCCATGATGCGACCAAGAAGGACGGTGCATCGTACCATTGTGGAGAGTCGTGACTTCTAACATGGTGTTCTTTACTTGTGTGGTTTTGAGCATAACCCCCTCGATATAGTTTCATGATTATTCAGCTTATTCATTTATCGCATCCATCCAACTCTCAAACTGAGAGTTCTATTTTTTCAGCCAAAAGCCTAAATGATTTAACAGACCCTCGAATGATACATCGCCAGCTGAAGTGACCTATGAGGTAAGGTTTAGTTTCATTATTTAATCTTTAGTACCCTGCTTAGTGCTGTCACTGGTTAGTTTCTTCATCAACTGGTGAAGATTGTGTATGTTCTTGTTTTTCGGATCATTACAACTTAAAAGCCTGTCTTATCATTTTTCTATAGTGAGCTTATAACACTAAGTAATGTACCTGCATTGGTCTTCCTACATTTATTATCATTAGTATTAACCAGAGTTGTATCCTAGGAAAATCGTCGTCATAATGCAACATGGCATTTAAAACATGCACTTCATCTTAATATGGAAAATAACGTCATATTAAGGAAATTCCACAATCTTTCATCGTTATGTTATCATCCATCATCATCATCATGTAACGTCATCATATAACATCATAAAACATCATCATATAACTCATTCATGTCATACATCATACATCATCAACAAAGCATCACAAGTATAAAGCATAAATGACACGTGCAGAGGCCACTAGGCAGTATCGTCATATATCAAAAAATTGTCTAACCTATCCTATAGTAAAAGGTCACTTGGTTGGTTGGCCTTAGCCGGCGTTTTTCCTAAAATTCGAGTACGCTGGTCTTCCGTTCCTCGAAGTTGCTCAAATTATCGCCGGGAGTCCTTTCCTATTTGGACGTCCATTTAGTTTCATTAGTATTAAATCTCAGCCTGTCTTGTCACTTTTTTTTTAGGTTGAAAGTTCAATTTCTTACTAATGTCTCTCTTTGTCTCTCTTCCACGTAAACATTTTCCCCCGATTGACAGGATAATGAGAACTTGAAGGCTGAAGAGTTCTCGGGTTTCAATTCTGTACATGCGGGTCGGGTCGGGTCAAAATGCGTCCAGCGGATTTCGACTTCTTCCAGATTCTTCTTCACTCTCAGTACAGTACGTCTTCTTCTCCACGAAAACCCACCAACCTCCCTTGACAACAAACTAGATACGAAGACCTACGAAATGCGTTAGGGTTTTGGGGGGAAAAACAAGGGAGATCACACCACTAGAATTTTAGCGTCGGAGTTCTCCCCTTTTCAGCCGTTTGAGTCCCAATGTCATCGCTCACGAGTACCTCGAGTTTTGTTGCTCTTCTCTCAAGTTTCGCCTCCTTCCTCTTGCTCAACCTCGCTTTCTCTGTCAACCCCCTGCCATTTCCTATTCTTTTGTCTTTCCTTTCTTTTCTTTTTCTTTTTCTTTTTCTTCTACTTTTTACCCTCAGAAGTGTTGGTACAATTTGCCTTTCTCTCTCTTTATTTATTGCTCCGGTTATTATAGGTATTCCTCATTTTTACAAATGTAGGTATTATTGAGGAGTTTGGAAAATTTTGTAACTCGGTGGAGACCAAACCCAAACCAAGAAGTGTCACACTTTTCAGGTAAGTGGCTCCTCAGAACCTTAGAATTAGCTATGTTCGTAGTATGTATGAAAGTATGATATGAGGAGTAAGTCATAGAAATTTGAGCAAGAAATGAGTTGGTTTGATGTATGTAGAAGCACGTTAAACGTTATGATGTACGTATATTGAGAAATGAACTGTTGAGTTACGATATGACCGAAATTGAGAGCATGTCTTTAGTATGATTTAATGCATGTTATGAAAATCGATTATATATATTTGAGTATAGAATGAGTTGAGATGAGATATGTTGAATGAGATTATGTATGTTTACTGAAGCGCGAATGAACTGTTTTACGATTGAGATATATAACTAGGTTTTTATGATTAGATCATTAAGCTATGTCTTTGTTACATATGTTTTGATATTAGCAGTTATACGGGGACGGTTAGGGGTTCGCCAACTAATCCTTAATCGTAAACCTGGCTCGATTGTTAGGGGTCCGAATAACTATAGAACTGGTCATTTCATTATTGATGGTACCTTGTAGGGACTTATAGGAAGTTTGCAAGTTAACTTTCTATTAATGAACCTGTCACGAGTGATATGGGTCGACATTGGTACATTAAAGTTGGTCAAGATGTATTGTTCATGCATGTAAGTTAGCGGTTATACGGGGACGATTAGGGGTTCATCAACTAACCCCTAATCATAAACCTGGCTCGATTGTCAAAGATCCGAATAACTATAGAAGATAATATTATAGGGGTGACTCATAGGAAGTTTTCCCCTTAGTTTTCTTTAAGTGAACCTGTCCCAAGTAGCGGTGGCCCACAGTAGTACCTTGAGCTAGGTTGCGCCTTGAGGGCTTTGAGATATGGTGATGATGAGTGACTAGCAGAAATAACTAACCTAGAGACCTAGAACTTTAGAATATTACTTTAGAATATTCTGAGAGCTGGAGGCCTAGACAGTACCAAGAACGAGAGAAAGAAAAATGAGAAAACCTAGTGTGTAACCTAGGAAGAGCCTATACAGTTTGTTACTTGGTTGGACATGGTGGTCTATAACAGGTTTTGCAGCTCCTCAACAGACAATGTCACCATGTTTGTGGGGTGGTGGGGTCCTTATGTCTGGCGTTGGGACCTGGGTTTCCTCTATCTCAGGGGTCTCTTGCGAGGGAACATTTGTGGCGTGTAACCACCTACCTCCTATACGACACTGCTAACACCACTTCTAGTTTTTGGAGTCATATGTGCGAATTCACAAATCTCAAGTTAAGATTTATACATCACGTCTCTTGATATATCATCATATATTCCACATTCAAAACTTGACATAAACTGAATCAGTTAGTTCAATTCACTAAAGTATCTCAATTATTTATACTATCCTTGCTTACGAGACTGTGGCGGGGAATAGTTGAGCTGGGCTATGGAGGGCTCTAAAACTCTTTAAACGGTCTACAGAACCTATTAACCTAAAGCTCTTATACCAATCTGTAACGACCTGATTTTCGAGAGACTCGAGCCATGGACCGTTACTTACTGACATGGAAATAAGTAAAAATTACGAAGAATTTAAAATTTTTAAATGTGCACACACACGAAGAAAGTTTAGATTTAGTACGAAATTGTTTAAAAATATATTACAACTACAAACTCACATGACGCACACACAAAAGAACATGATATAGATAGTTGAGAAAATCTAGAATTACAAAAAAACACCAAGGTTCGTAAAGAAAACATATGAATGGAGTACACGACACCAATCTAGCCCAATACTCCATAGCCCCCCGCTCGTGTGCGCCTCCATTGCATCTGCTCCATCATGTCTCATCTGAAATGAGTAATATATAATATACTCAGTAAGCAACTTGCTGTTAGTGTATATTTTGTTATTAAGTCTTATTGATCTTATTTATACGTTCGGTATATTATTCTCTTTTGAGTATTCGTTCCCAGGAATACCTCTTAGAACTGTTCCCATGTCACTGGCCCACGTTCTCGACAGAGCGGAGAACTGACTCCCACCAAAAATTATCTCGATTCTTCAGCATATAAGTTGCACAATGGACCTTATGGGTGTCAAGACAATTCATGTACTTGAAAGCTAACTCGAAAGCTTCCAACCAGCCTTTTGTCGCCTCTGTATCCAGGGCTCGCCTCTTAAATTGTGGGGGTCATACTTCTTAAAGTCCCTCAGGTAGCGAAACTCTTCGGACGTAAACTGATTCTTTTGTCCTTATCCTGATCGGTTCGCCAACACCGCATCCACAATGTTTGTTACTTGGCTAGACATGGTGGTCTGCAACAGGTTTTACAGCTCCTCAACAGACATCGTCACTATGTGTGGCGTTGCAGGGTGGTGGGGTCCCTATGTGTGGCGTTGGGATCTGGGTTTCCTCTATCTTAGGTATCTCCTGCGAGGGAATATATGTGGCGTGTGCCCACCTACCTCCTATACGACACTTGCTAACACCCCCTCTAGTTTTTTGAGCCATATCTGCCAATTCATAAATCTCATTTTAAGATTTATACATTACGTCTCTCGATATATCGTCATATATTCCACATTCAAAACTTGCCATAATCTCAATTAGTTAGTTCAATTCACTAAATTATTTATATTATCCTTGCGTACCAAATTACTGTGGAGCGTAGTTGAGTTGCGCTATGGAGGGTTCTAAGACTCTCTATTTAAACAGTTTACATAAGCTATCAACCTAAAGTTCTTATATCAATCTATAATGACCCGTTTTTCGAGAAATTCGAGTCATGGACCGTTACTTACTGACATGGAAATAAGTAAAAATTGCGTAGAATTTAAATTTTTTAACGTGCATACACATGAAGAAAGCTTAGATTTAGTGCGATATTGTTTAGAAATATATCACCCTGCAGACGCACACACAAAAGAACATGATATAGATAGTGTGAGAAAGTCCAGAAGTACAAAAAAAACACCAAGGTTCGTAAAGAAAACATATCAATGGATACACGACACCGATCTAGCCCAAAACTCCATAGCCTCCTTCCTCCTAGCTCGTGTGCGCCTCCGTCGCATCTACTCCATCACACCTCATCTGAAAGAAAGTCAAAGTAGCAGTAATGAGTATATAAAATATACTCATTAAGCAGTTTGCTGGTAGTTTATATTTCATTATAAAGTCTTATTGATCTTCTACATACGTTCGGTTATTCTCTTTTGGGGATTCATTCCCCCATATAGACTCTTCCCTAGGCTACACCCTAGGTTTTCTCATTCTTTTTCTCTTGTTCTTGGTCCTATCCGAACCTTCAACCCTTGGAATATTCTTAAGTTCTCTAGCTCTACAGGTTTGTCATTTCTGCTAGTCTCTCATCATCATCATATCTCAAAGCCCTTGGGGCGTGACCTCGACGCTCAAGGTCCATGCATTCTAAGAATCGACCGACTCTCAAGTTCACTTAAAGGAAACTAACTGGCAAGCTTCCTATAAGTCCCCACAAAGTACTATCTACAATAATAGGCGGACTCCTGACAATCGAGTCAAGTTTACGATTAGGGGTTAGTTGGCGAACCCCTAATCGTCTCCGTGTAACTGTTAATATCAGAATGTATGTAATAGAGACATAGCATAATGATCTAATCATGGAAACCTAGTCATAAATCTCAATCGTACACCGTTCATACTCGCTTCAGTAAACATACATAATCACATTCAACATGTCTCTTCTCAGCTCATTATATGCTCAAACATATATGGTCGGTTTCCCATAACATGCATTAAATCATACTAAAGACATGCTCTCAATTTCAGTCATATCATAACTCAACAATCAATTCTTCGATAACGTACATCATAACGTTTAACGTGCTTTTACATAAATCAAACCAACTCATTTCTATGGTATGTGCTTTTACATATCATACTTTCATGCATATTACGAGTATAGCTAATTCCAAGGTTCTTAGGTGCCACTTAATTGGAAAGCGTGACACTTTTTTTGGTTCGAGCTTGCGTCTCTAGGGAGTTCCAAAATTTGCCAAACTCCTCAATAATACTTTTCGTTCAAGGCTTTTAGAACGCGTCTGGTAGGGACAGGTTTCCACACCCTTATAAAGAATACTTTGTTATCCTCCCCAACCGATATGAGATCTCACAAACAGCCTCTCGAAACACTATTGATACTATAATTTCTTATGGTATTGCAACATAGTTGTATCTTTAGTTTCTTGTTAGAAAGATCCTAACAATATAATACTCTATTCCATTCTTCTCAATATTATATCAGATATCTTCTTTTCCGTTATTTCCCTTAAACTTTTGACTCGAACATGTATGTAACGCCATTTGAATTTTTATCTTCAGGTATTATTACAGTAGCAGTTTGGGGTATTATTATGATCCATCTACAGGACTCTTCTGTTCTGCTACATCTGGGCAATGGTATGCTCAGTGACTTAGTTTGATTGCATTTTTGCACTTATCTTATTATATATATGGCTGGGAACATTGAAGTTGTTTGGTTGATGGTAGAGTAGTGTGTTGAGTTCACTCATGGATCCATTGGATATCAGTCAAATGCCAATTTCTTGGGTCTTTTGTTTCTTATGCACTCTCGTTTTTAGTTGTTCCCGGATGAATTAGATTAGTTCTAGTGACTTGAAGAATAGAGAACTAAAACCTCTTGCCCTATTTTGAGAAGAAAGTTTTAGAGAACAGGGTAGAGAGATTTTTGAAAACAAGTTTGAAAGTAGGAAGGAAAGAAGATTTGAAAGCAAAAGGCAACACAACGGCTTAGATAGCATATAACTAGTCGCATCCCTCTAGTACATTTTGAGGTAATTTAGATCTGGTGGACTTAGCCGTGATTTCACCGAACGGTCATACAAAATCTAAGGGGAGGAGTTGACGACTAGTCACACCCCTATAATACATATTGAGGCGATTCATGTCTGGTAGATTTGTACATCGTTTCGCCAAATAGTCATACAAACATAAATACAATAGTAAGGCAATACAACATGAAATTGAATAAAGGGTTCGACATGATATAGGCATGCGGCCACGAGCAATACGCCTTAGACAAGCATAACCGTGATACACTGCAACTTACATATAACGATATAACGAGTTACTGCATATGAAAAAAAAAATCTACATGCTTTCATTATTAGGTTGGGCTGTTTGAGTGTATTGCTAT